TTTCCTAAACTGAATACAAAAAAAATCACCATAAAAAAATATTTTTTAAAAACTAAATTAAAAATTATTTTTTCCCTAAAAATCCTTCTGCATTAATTTTTCTAGGTTTAAAAGAACTCGTCCTCAAACTCTCATCATCACGTTGTCGTTGCTATCAACCATTTAAAACGATGCTAGTGTCCTTGTGCTTATTTGACTTGTTCGACACATACTTAAATAAGATAGGCTAACAATCATTACTAATCATTAATGATGCATTCCGTATTGTACTCTTGTTCATATTATTCAGAACCACCTCATTTTCTTCTTTCTCTATAATTATAGATAAAAATAATGTATTTTTATTCTTGCTTTCAACAACCATCTCCTCTTATGGGTGCCATTACTATATATTTTTTTTTTATACTAAGGGTATATGTATTTTGTCATTTGTCACAAATAATATTTTTATTATATTGTCATGACATGTCTAATAGTAAATGACATGTATTCATAGACACCACATCACACCAAACACTATTAAAATATCTCTTGCCTAGAGAAAATAAAACGAGACATCATTTATCCGTAATTACCTTGGTATCTTTATTCAGCGAAGTCATCTTATAAGGCATAAGGTGGCTCATGATTTTCAATTTGAGCTTCTTTACTATCTTTGCAAATACTATATTATCGCAACTTTCACTATTTATTATTAAGTTACAAACCTTATTTTTTATGATGCATGTCGAGTGAAAGATGTTGATGTGAAACTGATCTTCATTTGAATCATTACTGGGAATTGAAAAACTTTTTCAGATGACTAGGTTAGCACCACCATCTCCATGCAGAATCTCTTGACTATTATTTGAGTCATCATATATAAGATCGACAACATCATATGCAGGCTCTTTTATTAACATATTATTACTCAAATAACTTTCTATTTTGCTACACGTATTAGCCCAATGTCTTAATTCACCACAATTATAACAATGAATTTAAAGTGTTAAACAAGAATCGTGACCTATACTCTATCTTGTTGTTTGTTGAGTTTGTTGAGTTTGTTGAATAGGGGTGGTTGGCTTTTGATTATTGTTGGGTCCTTCTTTGTTATATTGATCAATCCAAGAACTCTTACTAACTACCCTGTATATCCTTTTGTTTCTTAAATGTCAAAGCCCTTTGATATGCCTTTGGAAATGCCCGCAAAGACCACAAACACAATACATCATAGATAGACCACCGTAAACCACTCAAATATCTCATCGCCAACTACTCTTTCGTATCTATCAAGTCATTTCTAGCCATTAATTGGTAGAACTCATTAGTATAATCATTGAAAGATGTATCTTCTTGTCTCAAGTGTTTTTTCATCTTATCTCAGTCATTGATTTTTTACTTCCCTTTTCCTCTCTCATGACTTTTTTAACTATTCCTACTAGAAAGAAGTTTGACCCTTCAATCTAATCGCAAGTAATTTCATCCTTATATATTATGAAACCCCATTATATTAAGATATTCGTTCAACAAATCTATGAACTTTTCAACCTATAAAGCTCCTGCAGATTCATGAATTTTGATATGAAATCCAAAATCCCCAGTTTTATTTTCCTCCCAATCAAGAGACTTTATCCTTTACTCTTAACTCTGGAATGGGTTTCCAGTACTACCTAGGGATCCATGATCACTATTCTCCTAGCCCTATCATGGTAGGTTTTTTTGTTTCAAACAAAAAGTCAATTGTGTGGTTTGTCTTTGCATGTACTCTATCACAAGCTCCTAAACATTTATCTTATGAGGGAGAACCCCTGCATCCACTCCTTAACCATACCCTACTTTGTGACTTCTTCCTACTATGGTTATTAGGAGCACACAATAACCAAACAGTTATAGGAGTCATAGGATTGCAGCATATTATAAGCAATAATTTAGAATTATTGGACTCTAATACCATTCAGTGCATATAGAAAAACAAGCAAGAGAAAAATAGAAAAAGAAAATAGATTAATGGTAAAAATAGGATTGAACACAAAATCCTTAATTTGTACTTTTATTACTTAAAAGAAAACTCTATAATAATATGCCTCTTTAATAGGTTTACAATACTTTAAATAAAATCCAAAAACCAATCTAAACAAATTAAAAAAACCCAAAAATAAAAAGAAAATAATAAAAGTCAAATTAGAAAAAACAAAACCATCAATCTCAATACTTGATTTTCTAAACTAAACAGAAAAAAAAAAATTACCATAAAAATATTTTCTTAAAATAAATGAAAATTATATTAACTTAGAAAAATACCTTTTATACTAAAAATCCTCACATATCATATTACACAATCCAAATTACAAAGAAAAAGAAAAAGAAAAAGAAAAGCAGAAACAAATCAATAACTTAAAAGATTCTACACTGAATGATAAGTTTGGGAACCAAACCAATTAAATAATTAATTACACATAAGAACTACATTATGCCATTTTTTATTCTAGCAAATGCATTATACTATTTTCTTCTATAATAAATAATTTACTCTGTATTGCCCCATTTGTTTGATGAACTTTCTTACTTAATTATCAAGTGAAAACATTAACATACGTCATCAAATTATGACATTTTCTTAAATCATACAACATTATTCCATTTTCTTCTTCCAATAAAGAATTTTTCTGGGTTGCTTCATTTGTTTAATTTCTTACTTAATTATACTAAATTGACAATTCAAAACCAGTATACAAAAACTCAAAACTCAACAAACCAAGCTATTTCCAAGTTAATGATGATATTTCAATGTTATTACAAACCAAAATGAAAGTAAATCCTCTAAGAACATTAGCATACGACGACAAATTAACAGTTAAAACCAGGTATCAAGGAATCTAAATTGTGGCAGAAATGTTTTATTTTTTGAAAGTAATGAAAATCTTTCACTCACTCAAGAGTTCATAGAACACTTCCAATATTTTAATTTTACAGAAAAAGGTAAACTTTAATTCTTTTGATGTCATCTAAGACAACAACTAGATTTTGTTGAAAACACAACCGTGTACGGTAGTAGACTACTAGTACTTTGCGTGTTGATGTTTTTTGTTTTCTCTTACATTTTTTTTCCTTCTAGGAAAGCATGTAGAAAATCTTTACACGTAAATAATCTGAACTGAAGAAGCTAATCTATCCCGCAAAACTCTCATGGTTCTTTACTTTTTTGGCTTTATCTCTCAACGTTTAACCTGATATTATCACAACCTGCAGGAACCAACTCTCAGTTTTTTCAGTATATTAGCTATTGTCAAGTTCACTAAAGAACTTTCAGTGCTTTCAGGAAATCACATTTTGGTTTCGGTTTTTCATTGTTGTTCTGGATATGGGTTTTTGCTCTTGTTTTGGTTTTTCTGAAGGCAATAAGGTGAAAAGCAATCATATCAAGAAATAACCATCTTATGGTGAGTCTTGTTTGACAATCATGTGCTTATTCATGCAATCTCTAAAGGGTGTTTTCTTTTTTTTCTTACATTTTGTTTGTTTTTCATGTTTTGAATTCTGTGTTTGTGTTCTTGATTTGATGATAGGCATGCACCATGGTTATGGGAATGACAAAATTGCAGACATTTTGATTATGCATGAAAATTGATAGACAAACACAATGTAGGTTAGGGATGAGTGGATCTCTTAAAATTTGGTTGTTTTAAGAGTTATCCCTTTTGAGTTTTCTTAGTTTGCTTTATTATTCCAATTCTGTAGACTGGAAATCTAAATTTTAACTCATCATTTTTGCCCTGCTATAACTCATCATTTCTGCTGGAAATAAATCTAGCAATTAATCATGTCAGCAAGTGATTTGCCATTGGCTCTACTACTTTAGTTCATCAACTTAACTTGGCACTTTGAACAAATAAGCATGGATTCTTGCACAAAAACATATTAAAGAATAATATAAATTATATTTTAAAATTTTATTTAATAGTTTTTGAATTAAAATAGTACTACATATATGTAAGTTTTAAATCTAAAATATTTTTACTTAAAAAATATGTTAAAAAATAATATATAAATTATATTTTTGTAATCTCAATTAATAACTTAAACATTTAATTAAAAAAACTTTCACTAAAAAAAATAATGTTTTAGACAATAAATTAAATAGAACCTTACTTAATGTTTATTTAATGTTAATGTTTACTTAATGTTTAAGTTTTTGAGTGAAGATGTTATTTTACAAAATTTATTTGAAAGTCTTATCAACCATGACAAGATTGTTTAGAGAAATATCATGCCTTGGTAGATTGTTTGAAATTTATGAAGAATACTAGATTGCTATCCCAATGACCAGGAGAACCTGCTTATACTGGGAGATGTTATGGCTTCCATGTATGAATTTCTATTCTTCTTTTGCCTTTTTTTTTCACCTTATACAAGCTTTTCTTTTATTTGTCTAGATGGCACAGAAAGTCTTTAAAATGTGATTTACAAGAGATGCAATGAACTTAAACTGAAAATGCCTTCATTAATTTGGTTTAACACTTAAGCTCTTGCTTCTTAATAGCCATGAGCTTGGCAGGCGCTCTACAACTTCAAATGGTATTTTCATTTGTGGGATTTTTCCTCAAATCTTAGTACATGCCGTTTTGCCGGGACTTCTTTTCTGGCAAGAATCTTACAGAGGATACGTGCATACATTGTTATCGACATTTTTGAACATCATTAAAGAGGAGTAAAAGTAAAATTAGGATTTGGCTTTACTTGATTCATAATATTGCTGCCATAGGGTTCTTGTATAATAGCTACCACTTATCGGTAACCTGCTGTTGTTTGAGCTGGTTGAAAATATAATTTGCTCCTCCGGAATTTCATGCGGCTCGCTGCATTTGAATGTGAGAAGCTCGGGGTTTAAATATAAACTATGTTCTCTTCGAAAGTTTCTTTCCTGTTCGTTCAATCATACTCTTTCTTTCTAAGAATTTATACTTCCACTTGATTGATCCTCTTTTACTAAAATTCACACAGAACCAAGATGGGGAGCCATGTCAAAAAGGAATGTTGAGACAAGATTTACATCATCTGTCGTAGAAGATGGACCCGGTGATCTCAAGGCTGCAATATTCACCTACAAAGAACTTTCATCTGCAACAAATAACTTTAGGGCCGAATCTTTCCTTGGAAGCGGTGGATTCGGTGCTGTATATAAAGGAAAATTAGAAAGCACTGGTCAGGTAATTAAAATTCATTTGGCTCAAAATATTTTTTATTTTGTTCCGCCATTCTCATACAAACAGGCTTTTTTTCATTTATTTTCTCATTTACTCCCAAATCTTACTTATCATGTTATTTCTTATGTGAACCAGTGGACTAGGTCTCTTCTTTCCTTGATCACATCTAATATGGCTGTAGCAGGTTGTAGCTGTTAAGAAGCTAGATCCATCAGGTATCCAAGGTGACAAGGAGTTTCTGGTGGAGGTTCTCATGCTCTCCCTAATGCATCACCCTAACCTTGTCAACTTGATTGGTTATTGTGGTGATGCAGACCATCGCCTTCTTGTTTATGAATACATGCCCTTGGGATCCTTGGAAGATCACCTTTTTGGTATTTCTTCCTTCCATGTCACAAGATGTTTAGTTTTGCGTGCTATAACATCATTCGAAGCACCCCGGAGTAACTAGACTTTGCAATGAAAAACAATTCAAAACAGCTTATGACGGAATGAATGATTTCATGGAAGATCTTTCTCGTCTGAAACACAAAATTCACAGTAGAATGCATTCAGTGATTAAATTATCTGATTTGATAAAACAAAATTGCAGTTGGTGGCTATCTTATAGCAAAGTCCATTCATTCAAATTTATTAGATGAAGAGATATCTTCTATGCATTTTACCAACGGCAATTTATCATTCAAAAGTGTAAATGAGTTGGAATTCATGTCATAATATTACTTGTTTGTCATGAGCAATTGCTATCCTTCCTCTGTACAGTGAACCGATACGAAAGATGACGATTCTGCTTCATTGTATCTGGCTGTTTTGTTTTTCTCTTCGTCATTCTAGAATTAAGTAAGACAGATAAACATACTTATGCCAGTGAAACTTCATATTTCCCATAAATAGTGCGATTAAGACAGTATTTAGTACCTATTGGATAAATAGAGATGCCACAGAACATCTGCTTTCTCAATTCTTCAAGGATTTAGCATGTATGTGATGGCATATCATGTTTTTGGGCAGATGTGACGCCAGATATGGAGCCTCTAGACTGGAATACAAGAATGAAGATAGCAGCAGGTACGGCCAGGGGATTGAATTCTCTACATTCTGCAAATCCTCCTATCATATTCAGGGACCTGAAAGCGTCTACATATTATTGAATGATGGTTTTAACCCAAAACTCTCCGATTTTGGACTCGCAAAATTTGCCCCCGTTGGCGACAAGACCCATGTCTCTACTAGGGTCATGGGTACCTATGGTTACTGTGCTCCTGAATATGCATCATCAGGAAGATTGAACTTGAAGACTGACATCTACAGTTATGGAATTGTTTTGTTAGAGCTAATTACTGGACGTGGAGCACTGTACGAGGTTAACGGTCATCGAGAATATCTTGTTCATTGGGTAATTCACTTCCTATAATTCTACATATCTATCAGTTTGCCAAAACCTGTACATATCCTAGGTAACTTTTTTGAGGATTAGTCTTAAGGAATAGAAGCTGCACTAACTGCATCAAGTCAATATGCTTGAAAAGATTTGACCTCTGCATCTTATTTTTCTATAGTGTCTTCGAGAATGATCCTTGGCTCTGTTCATGATGGATTATGTAGGCACTCCCCTTGATGAAGGAGCCCAACTTTTCAAAGTTAGCAGATCCATTGCTGAGAGGCAAGTACCCAATGTCTGTCTTAAGGAAGGTTATAGAGGTGGCATCGATGTGCCTCGGTGAAAATGCCAATTTACGCCCTTCCTCGAGTGAAGTGGTGCAAGCCATGGATTATTTGTTGTCCCGTAAAAGTGAACCAAAGAAGGCCAGGAATTACTGTGCCAAATGGCCAGAGCCTGACTTCACTCCAAGACGCACAAAAATGGTAATAGACAGGGATTTAGACCGGGACCATGCAGTGGCAGAGGCCAAGCGTTGGGGAGAGGAATGGAGAGAAAAGCAAGAACAACTCCGGCGAAGTATTTTGGATGACGACAACCGGTAGGAACCCATTGAAAGACGCCCAAAGCACTCTTCTTTGTTTTTCTGAGTTTTCCCCCCTTAAGGAGGATTCTGACTATTAAACTTTGTTAATAAACTAGCAGTCTAAGACCCCCCCTAGTAATCTATTACTTTGCCTTTTTTTTAGGCTAAATTTTAAAATTTTATTTTTCCTTCAGTTGGGGGAATAAAATTCAGAACGGACTGTAGTTTGAAGGCATTTCTGATAGGCTGGCTGATCAAAGGATGGCAGAAGCTGCATGCATGGTAAAGAAAAATCTCGCTATCATTCAAACAAATGTTGCAAAAGCAATACCTTCGATGTCTTTCCCATCCTTTAGGATCGGAGATTTAGCTGCAATGAGTGTTGGCAACTCGAACATGTTTTGCAGAACCTGAGGTTTGGCTTAATTTGCTAGTTGTTTTCAATTAAAAAAAATTGGAAATGCAGGTAAACGCCATAATTCAATAATTATGATAATCCATTGAGACTTTTACATATAGTTATAAGACCTTGCGAGGCAAGTTAACCTATTGACCAAGGCCTGATCTGAGCTAAGATCAGTGTAAAGATTCAATCTTGTTTAAAGAACTTTTTTCACTTTTTTCTTTACAAAAAAAACAGCTTGAAATTATATTATTTCAGATAAATTTTATTTAAAAAAAAAAACTTAAATTAATCCAAATTAAACCCGTAACCTAATCCTTAAACCAAGTAGTTAATCCCTGATCATATCTTAAACTGTGCTTTCACCAAGTTTACCTTCAATTTTTCCTAGTTCATATATAGCTACATGTTTACGTTAACTTCGATTAGTGCAAAACTTAGGTTGGCCCGGTCGTGGAGGGGTTATGTGCCAAAAAATAGAAAGAATTGTATAGCTGAATGTTTCTGTTATTTGCTTTATAAGAATTTTAATTCTGGAAATTCCTTTGAATATACTAGTTTACAATCTCATGCCACACTACATAGATAAAAAAAATTAAACATAATAAAAATTATTGAGGTTATAAAAAGTTATTTAACATTTTTATTAAATCCAAACTAGTATAATAACCTTAAATCTTCTTATCCAAATTCTTATTTAACCCGAGTTTAAAAATAAATCATATAAAAATTTATTCATATATGATTTCATTAACTGGATTAGTTCAAAGATATTCATCAATCAATAAAAAAGGTTTAAGGATGGGATTGAAAAAAATAATAAAATTAAAATAAATAAAAAATATTTCAACTTAACTTTTTACCTAGCTTGAATTTAAATTAAATTATATAAAACTTATTTTGATGTGACCCAATCAATTTGATGAGTCCAATGACAACCTAGTTAACCGGCAAAAATAAAATATAAAGATAAAATTAAAAAAATAATGAAATTAATAGAAAAAAAACTTTTATTTAATTTGAGTTTAAAATTAAATTGGATAAGAATTATTTTTATATAATATTAAAAAATTTAAGTAAGAAATTTTTTTGTAAAAAAAAAAGGGAAAACGATTAAAAAAGGGGGTGGGAGGGTAAATATATCAATATTTATTTATTTTGGCATGGAAAGTTGTAATTGATCTTGGACGCCCATTATGGGCCAATTAGGCAGTTTGGAAGCTACTGGGCTTGTGTATGACTTTTAAGGCCATGTATTGATGTAAATTGGACCCAGCCCTTTGCAATTAAATCCTTTCAAAGGGGTCCTTTCCAACGCCCCTCAGCTTGTGCATCACTTTTAGTTCGAACATTCTCTTAACGAAAATAATAAAAAATAAAAAGGAATCCATTTATAAAAAGGAAGAAAAAGAAAACATAATCATCACTGTAACACCAGAGTTAATGTCATGCCCGATTCATCTGAAAGAACCATTGTCATCATTGTGCTTGCTTGGATTTTTTATTTTTCACTTTCGGGCTTTTTTGTCTATTTATGTTACAAGAGAGATGCTAGATAATCCATGTAATTAGCTTGTTAATATATAAAGACTGTTTTTTAAAATTATTTTTTATTTAAAAATATATTAAAATAATATTTTTTATTTTTTAAAAATTATTTATGACATTAACCTATTAAAAAAATCTAAAAAACTTAATTGGAAACAAATAAATAAAAAAATTTATTTATGCAAAAAAAAAAATGGGCTCTTATTTTATTTTTCTTTTTTAATGGTTGCAGTATCTTGGATCCAATTTCAAGATGATCTGGTTTGGGATTGAAATGAATTTAAAATTCAAGTAATTAGATTATCAAGTTAACCCGACCAATTTATTTATTTTTATTAAAACTATATTATTTCTTTATTTCTTTATTTCTTTATTTTGATTGAGTAAACATGAATTAACCTAGAATGATTAGACTTTGTGTCACTAAGTAATCAAATCAACCACCTGGAGTAAGCATTGTTTAATAACTATGTTAAGATAGGGTCTTTTTTTTGTTACTGTTCAATTTAACCATCCATATCAACAACTCTAGTGTATTCATGATAAATAATTAAATATAAGTATACATATATAATAATTACCTACTAATTTGTGATTTTAAAGTCATATATAAAATTAGAGCCAACCGTAATTTATAAATGAAAATATTGAAGCATTGATAAGTTTTAATAAACTATAAAGAAAATCCAAAATAAATATATTTTGACATCAAGGACTGAAATGAAATGTTTAAATACTATAAGAACCAGGAAGGAATTTAAATATACTCAACCTATGCAGCAGAAGTCCTTCAGAGTCCATCAAATTACAAAAATGGAGCAAAATATTGTCCTTCACCGATTCATAGATAATCAAAGACCAAATCCCGTTAGATGCATCATGTGACAAACAAAATAGACCACGTACCTATAATACAGATACCCTTAATTATAATGTACAAAATGAATGAAATATAATTTATGTTTTGCATTCAGATCTCTCTTTTTGTTAAAAAAAAAATACAAAAAAACAGTAAAACAAAAGGTAAATTCATTTTATTCATAGACATATTTTACTATTTATTTTCATAGTATAATTACCCTGATAAATTTCTGAAAAAATAAGCACAAGCATATTTTTATGTTTTTATTTTTTTAAATGCATTAAAATAATAAGTTTATCTTTTAAATAAAAAAATAAATCATATACCTATAAGCCTTTTGATTTTCCACTCTTTATTTTTTATTATCTTGTTTATTAAGGGTAATTTGATTTTTTAATAAAAAATAATTATTATTTAAATTGAAAAAGTTGTTGGCAAATATAGCGCATGCGCCAGTGCATGAGAGATGTCCACAAATTTATGGTAGTGTATATAACACTTTCAAGTGGCAAAAAATACCTTTTTATCATGTTGTTGAAAGTGTTTATATATTATTTTCTTGTTGGTATGATGCTTGCCAATAATGGTGGGGAGGTTTGTTAATGGTGAAGGTTTGTTTCTTTTTTTTTTTTTTATCTAAAAAACTTCAGGCTGGTCCTTTTCGTTATTGATATTCAACTTCAATTCTTATTCTTTTGATTTTTTTATTTTTATTATTGGTCTTTTTATAAAAGTTTTATCTGTTTTTAATTTCATATTTCAATCTCAATTTGTAATATATTATTTTTTCCGAGACCTTATTCTTTTGGTTTTTATTTTTTTCTTTGATTTTTTGTAAAAATTTTATCGGTTTTCAATCCAAATTTATGGTATATTATTTTTTAATTTGATCCTTATTTTTTTAGTTCTTTTATTAAAATGATTTTTCTTTTTGATCTTGCTCTTTAATTTTTTAATTTCAGTTTTTATCCTTATTTTTTTAATTTCTATTTTTGTCTCTTTTCCTTTTATATAATTAAATTTTTTTTCTAAATTTTATCTTTTAATATTTAATTGGTTGAGGAATGAGTTTCATGGTTTTTTCATGCATAGTACTTCCAATATAATAACTTGAGTCATGAGTTTAAACAATTAACATGAATTAACATCTTTATTCTTTTTTTTTTACTTAATTCTTTCTTCATATTTCATCATTCAATTTTTTTTTTAAAAAAACATGGGCTCTATTGTTTTTTTAAAATTTATTTTTCTATTAGGTTACCTCAATCTCATGATTTGGATCGCGGATATGAAGAGTTTACCTGAGTTGACTTGTTTTTTATTATCTAAGTTCATGTTTATCATACTAATTTGGGTTAAATCGAGTTAGGTTTTTTTGTCCATGTTTTATTCAATTTCATTCTTTCATATTTAATTGGTTAAAAATTGAACTTTATTGTTTTTTTTCCAGATTATTTTGATTATTTTTTTATTATTTTGATTTGTTTATTATTATTGTCAATTCTGGTTTATAACATGAGACATATTTTTTTATTTCTTTAAAACACTCTTACAAAACATAAATATTATTTTTTTATTAAAAAAAATGCAGCCCCGTGGCTTAGTGTTAACCTACATCTAGTGATTAATAAATTATTGTCTAAACTAAAACCTTCAAAAGCAGTGTTATTAAACCTAGTTTGAAGGGTTATTTAAGTGGGAACAATGTTATTAAACCTAGCTTGATGGGCCATTTCAACGACTATTTGCCTCAGTCTTTGATATATGATTAATTTTAGATTAAACTGGTGAAAATTAACTTGATATATCAAGTCAACTCTTAATTAGGTCAAAATCCTTCCAAAACTTAGATTGATTTTTTTTAAATAAAATAATATTATTCTAGTTTATCTCAAGTCAACATGCTAATAAAACAAGAGTTGAATTGGACCATGGACTAGCGGGGTTTAATAAATTTTGTTCTTTTACTTGATTAATGGTGCTTTGTCCATTTATCTCAAGATTTTGTGATTCTCTTTTATACTTAAACTTTTCTGGATAAAAAGACACAGCGCGCAGCTCCAGCTCGAAAGATACTGTTTAATCTCTTGTAAATACCAACAGAAGTGGCACTACCTAGCCTGCTAGTCTGGAATCACAAGCTTCACAGTCAAGGTACGTCCAGCTAAATTGTTCTTCAAGTAACAACTACTTATTGCATCGAACC